AGAGCGACGGTTCGCCCGCCCGGTGCCCACCCGGGCACCATCGTCCCCGCTGCCCACCCGGCCGCCCCCGCATCCCCTTCCTTGGCCGTGCCCAAAACCAGAGCTGCCTCGCAGCAGCTGCTCCTCCCCAAATCCATCTGTCCCTGGAACGCAGATGGAAAGAGATAATCTCCAACTGCCTTCAGCTCCTCCAGCCCAGCTCGGACAGGCCCCGTCCCTCAGCCCAAACGGGAGTTCCCCGGGGCTTCTGCCAAGTCCGAGTTCCTCACCCCAGACCCTGCTCCTGTGCCCGTGTGCGCTGGCACCTGCGCCCCGCCTTCACAGACCAACTCACCCGCACGAACTGCTCGCGTTGCAGGCAGATTTGGTGCTCTGCATTTTTTCAGGGCACAGATTAATTTATTCTCAAGGAAAATTATTTATGGCAGAACGTGTCATTGGTAGAAATGAACGAATCAATCCGGTAAGAAGCACTTGATTGGGTTTTGATTGATAAAGATGGGCTGGGAAAGTTTCCGGACCGTCGAGCTGCAGCAGGCTGAGGGTTGGACAAACCCCTTTCCCAGTGCCTTTGCTCATCTTCTATGCAGAAAAAGGAACCTTCAGCACCGTCCTTCACTTCTGGAAATCTGAGTTCCAATCTGTACTTGAGGTTAATTGGAAGGGGGCAGGATCTCTTCCTCTCATGAAGATGTCGTACAGCAGACACTAACGTTAAGTAAGCAATAACAGAGCTTAAAAGGAATTGGTTTCTTAATATGGTGCAGATATATAATGCCCGAATTCTTTACACTATTTAATCTTTAATAATTGCCTCAGACACTTATTTCTAAATATTTAGTGAAGCAAGGCTAAAAGGAAATTAAAGTGGGGGGAGGGAACAAACCTTGGGTTATTTTATACAGCAAGTGGCACAGTGACTAAAGCCAAACCCAGCGAGTTCCAAGCACAGTCCACTCACCTCTCATTAAAAAAAGGGAGGTTGGGACACTTGGTACTGTCCAAAACCAAGCACTGAATGTCCAGACATGACTCAGTGCCGATTACAAAAGAGCCTCATGTTAACTTTCTACACAGTGACCTGGCTTACAGGGATTTCATTGTGTGATAACACTTAGTTCTCTGAAATAATAATTACAAACAAAATAAAAAAAGCCCTTTTAGATTGATTTTGCAATAGTAGTGCAACAAGAAGCCAATCAAAACACGTTTTATTTTTAATTATAGAACTAAAAGGGCTAACATTTTATTAATATAAGGTTGCAAATTAAAAGGGAAAAGCCAGAAGCCCTTAATAATCTCCATTGTAAAAATGCAAGAGACTTGTGCTTTAAACATCACCATGACATACCACAGGACTCCGTCCTTCCTCCTCTCCCCTCTCTCCCTTCCAAGGGCTATTGAGAAACACGTTGTCAACATATTTCATCTGAAAATTCAAATGCCTATTCTAAAGCAGATACTCATCACAGACATTTTCAGCCCAAACAGTTTGTATATCACACAACTAAAAAGCAACTTTAAATGAGAAATACTCAGAAATTATCTACAGACATTACCACCTACACTGCAGATTTCACCTTCTACAGAGCAGTAGCTGAATGCAAGTATTTGATAACTCAGATGAAACATTCCCAAACGGATGTCTTCCAACATTTCCTTACCCCACTTCCATTTTCTTTTCTTCAAAAACAATCTTCAGCAGTCCACATACTGCCTAGAATATACCTAAGCACATCTTTCCTTAGAACTAAAAATGTTAACTCCACCATTGCAAAGCATCCTACGCCACAAGTTCTCACTGTATGATGGAGTGTAGCTTTAGAGGGAATATTTAAACTGGAATATATACAAGTTCTAAGTATTTTACTTCCTACAGGAATATCTTTCTTGGAAAACCAAAAATAGTTTTGTCAAAATACTGACTTGAAAGAGCAAAGTTGGAAATACAGATGAACACCTACGATGGAAGGTTCTCCTTCCACTATGGCTTGAAATAGTTTTTGTTTGCATTGATGTTTAAAAGCATAACTAAGCTCATTTTGTCTCTAGAAAGTGTTTGAAAATAAAAGTGAAATCTAATGAGAGGTGTACGCATGGGGCAGGACTGCTACCACAGTTACTACCTCGCTTTCATGTTTGGAGAGAAGAGGGGCAGACTCCTCTGTAAACGCACCATGCAGCATCGTTACACGACCCTGGCCAGCCACGTCTGAAGGACAAGCTCGTCACAACTGACAGCAGACCCAGGAGGCAGCCTTGGCTTGGCAGTACTCAAAGGCCTGGACCTACTTTAGGGAACTAAGGCGCAGACTGTTTCTTCAGCAGAGTTTTGCCAGAACTTGAGTACTATTTGGTTTCCACATCTAGCAGAAAAATGTGATTTATTAGGTTATTGCAGTGGAGGTTTTGGCAGGGAAAGCAGGCACACCGAAGAATGCATCTGTTACTTCCAAAAAAAGCCAAACAATTTCACAGGTCTCCTTTAGAGAACTAGCCTGGACTGCAGAAAAAACAGCATTTAATTCAGACAGAGGATGGGGAGAAGGGCAGAAATAACACGCCGGGGGACACAAGGAATCTGCAACCAGCTTTTCTTGTTTGTGATGAAGAAATTGTACCAGGGAAGAAGTTTAGAAAACTAACAGTACAATCCACCGCGCTACAAAGATCTTCTCTTGCACAGCTCGGGAAAAGGATGCACTGCTAAGATATTAAAAATTACATTCTTGTAATCCACCGGGTTCACAAGCCGTGAGCAAAGACTCAACAAATTCAAGAGGAAAAACTAGGACGTTTTTGCTGTAAGCTTCAGCTGGTCACAGTGGATTAGAGGAAATCCTTCAGCCAGCAAGACAAGCAATTGGAATGGAAAATCCCAGCTCCCACCGGGCAGCCACCGCCATCCAGTGGGTACTGCTCACAGGCACACGGACGCACACACCGAAATGAAGACAAGCATCTCATTTTCAAATTGATTTTTGTAAATGGAAAAAAATGTATAAAATCTATCCGTACATTAACAGATACAGGAAGTTACACAATCCAGTTTACACCTAAAGTAATAGCAATCAGTCCATAATAAGAACAGGGAAAAAATTCCAATGCTGTATAATTTGTCCAAAGTCACTACGGGGCAGAGGATGGCAGGGGGAGGGTGGTTGGCTGCTTCGTTTTGGTGTGTGGATAAAACTGGCTACCTTCCCTACTTCCAAAGCAATGAGACAATTTCAACAGACACGTATGAGGAATACTTCTGCAATGCATCTGACTCTAGCAATAACACTGAATATTCAAAGATTCATATTATTACAGCATAGTGTTTGAATACTTTTGCCTCCAGGGAAGGGCAGTGGGCCGTAGACTTTATCCAAGAGAAATCCTGCACCCGTCTTAGAATGTACAGCATTGAGTTAAAGATTTTTATTTTACCATTTTTATCCGTCCTGGAACACTTAACAATTCGTGTATCCTCAGCTCAGACATTTACAAAGCATGCAGAGACTGTAACTACTCAAGGAACATTTAGGAGGCTATGGAGAATGTGCTGGTGGGTATTGGTCTAATTTTAGTGAACTCATGACTACCATTACATGCAAGCCACACCTGGCACCAGTTTTCCCCTCGTGCTTCCATTTATTGGAGGCCCCAGAAGACCAGGCTTGAATGAATGGGCATGGAAGCTCAAGTACCATTTTGAGGAATAAACCAAAACAACTATTAGCAGGGGCCAACTTGTGGGAATGCCTGCCCTGCTACTGGTGTACCTGTGGGTGAACAGTGTCAGTCTAGGGCTCAGAAAAGATGCCTGACCGAATTTTAAAGGAAAAGGGAGGCACCTTAAACCCTGAAAAGAGAGGCTTCCTGTGTTTGACAGGTGTATTCAATATAGACACACAAAGCAAGACAGTAAGCTGTGCTCATCATCCACCCAGAAGACTGCACCGTTTTTCTGAACACATAGAATATACAACCCCTTCTTAAAATAACAACAACAACAATAATAATAATAATAAAGCAGAAGTGCAGAACCCAGACTGTTGGGCGGTCTGTGTTTAAAAAACATAAGAAAGAATAAAAGCTAATGCTGTAAAGACAACTATTCCCTTTCAAAGCAAAGGCCACATAAAACTGTGTTGCTCAGTTTGGTTTTTACTTCATGCCACCTGTAAACACGAGACTGGATATTCAGTTTCTGGGAAGAAATGAAACCACTTTTACATCCAGAGTAAAAGAAAGGCCCTCCGCTGCCTGGATCACGGATTATCCAGGAAAAGGCAGCTGGAGGAAGGCTTCCTCTTCTTGTTTGCTTATTTCATTAGAAAGGTCACATCTGAACAAAAGAGCTTTCAATAAAAGCACAAAACATGTCTTGATGTTATTTCTGCCCTCTATCTCTAAAGTTTGCTATGGGGACTAACACTTTCCATTCCTCACCAACAGATACATCGCCTTTTTGGCATCATAGGTGGAATTTCTTCCTGATGTATAATTTTGCCTTATACAAAAGTCGATTGTCTAATCATGCAAATCCAACAGAATTCCAAAAAGTGCCACAAACCAGCTCAACTCTTTGCAATCTACTACCTAGTTTGTACACTGCCATAGGATCCTCCCAGAGAACACACTGTTATCCTTACTCAGATCCAACAGTGTATTTCGTGTATGGCATTTCAACCTTTCTTTCTGGGGGGAGAGAATCAAAATCCGCGCCCTGATTCCATTGATTTTTTCACTCTAAGAGCTCTGAAATGCATGGAGATTTCTTTGATTTGTTGAAGATATCTTCACTGAACAGCCTGATTAGAGAAAAACTTACTGATTCAATCAAATAGAAAATAAAGACAAAAACAGGTAGTGGTAGGTTTTTTCAATCTTTGCTCCTGTCCTTGGAGACAAGAGTAGAGTTTCACTGCTACTGCATTTTTCCCAGCTGGATCTTCTTCCAGGCCTCTGATGCTGTGAATATGCAGGAGTCGAGGATCCCAGCTACAGTAAACGTTCCTCCAATGATGGCACATATCTGAAACGTACAGAGAGAGGAAACAGGTTTGTCAGTGATGAGGGAAACTTCTAAGTAGCTTGAAACTGGGGGGAAGGATATTATTTATTGCCTACTGCTAGAGTATTTTCTGGAAGCATAGTTAAGAACTGGGTAACAGTACTGGGGACGTAATTATATGACAATCATTCAGGAAAACCGCTCCCTACAGTGGAATACCTTAGTGCTATCCTGAACTCATCAGAGCCTGAGCCAACTGTAAATCCCAGCTCCTAGCAGCCTACAGCACGAGTGCTGCTCCTTTCTGGGCTAAACTCGACCTAACGAAGCTTTCCAGAAGTGGTGTGTTGCTCATATCTTCCTTCTACTGTTTTCTGTTGTAAAGCCTTGTAGTCTTTTCCCTATTTCACAAGATACAGCATTTGCAAACGGGCAAAAGGCACTTACAGAGCATGTGAAGGACAGTGACTAACAGAAACCCAGCTACCAGTGACACCTACAGCTAAGTCTGCCTAACACTTTCCATTACAAGGGCTGCTTACAAAAGCACTGCCAACTTAACTCTTCGTGGGCCAAAGTTTTCCATGCAAGGTGTCTTCGGGCTGAATTATTTAAACACCAGTAAAAACATGTAATCATTTTCAAGAACAGAGTTAGGGGAAAAAAATAATCTCCTGATTAGCATAACAGCCTAACTTCAGTTCTCAAGTGCTAGAAAAACGCAAAGTATTCTGACCTATCTAACCAAAGGTACCTCGGTTTGGAGCACCCAAAATCAGGAGGCACCAGTTACTGACGTTGCAACACACTGCCTCAATTCCCTTATCTATGAAACAGAAAACGGGGACAATACCACACTTGCCTCCCAGGGAAACTGTGATGGAAAGCACATTTGAAGGTTTCAATACCATGACAGTAGCTGTCTCAGAGTCCTTGTGGAAACATATGACTTATACTCAGGACCCGGTTAACACAAACCACCTGCTAGTAACATGGCAGCAGCCAAATGCTGCTCACAGGGTGCCACCCCACCCTGCACACTGCACAAGGAAGGGCACACATGGAAAGTATGATACACAGTAATGTAACCTAATAATGTTTAACAGCCAAGTTACAACTCCACAGAACTTGGCATTTCCTCACTCCCACACTTTTTACTTCATAACCGTGATGCTCTTGTAATTTGGTCTTTTACACGGCGTAGGATTAGGTAGCTCTGACAATAAGGGACACCGGGTCTGTGAGAAGGGGAGAAGATACAGAGCTTATCTCCTGAGAAGGGCCTGCCTAGGAAATAGGGGGATTCTGATGAGAGCTAGAAGCGGAGAGAGAGAGAGGAACCCAAAATCAGTAAGCCCATGTAGAAGGGCATCAGGGAAACGCAATGCAACTGGCACAGAAGGGAAGCGGTACCACATTTAGACCTACTGTGTCATGTGTCTTCTCCCACACAGCCTTGCACGCCATGGGACACGTTACAGACGAAGGAGTAACATAACAGCAGCAGCGTTCAGCTCGGCAGGGAGTTAGCAGTGGCACCAGAACAAACAGTCCACTAATGGGGAGCGAAGGCAGCAAGAAATCAAGCACTAGTTTATGTGCGTGTTTATAACCAGGATACACGCGTTCAGTGAGCTCACTGAAACGAGGCGCTGCAGTTAACATGGCTTTTGCAGGACAGCTGGCATTCCAGCAGATAAAGGCTTCAAAAACCAGAGCACCAGCCTGAGGCAAGGTTCATATTTTTAGGGGACAAGTCCAGCTCCCACCTTCTGAGCCCCCCTCCTTGCTACCCCTCGGAGCATGACGCAGGGTGACTTTTCAGGGAAAATGACCGCAATGGAGCTGGGTTATTTCAGTCCACAGCAGCTCAGCTGACAGGAGATGTTACACCGCAAATGACAGAAAACCCATCCAACACTAAGATTTTGCATCATATGGTAGGAAAATCTGATTTCAGGGCAGCAGTGCAAGGGGGTGGAGAACAGAAAAAAATATATATTCATCTGCACAGCTCTGTACTGCTGAGTGTTTATGAGTCACACACACCTGGCATTCGCTTGGAGCCTGCCTCCCAGCACGCACACAGCCCTCGTTTCGTTGCGACAATAAAAAGGCAGCACCAGGGTTGGGCTCTAGATCAGCACAGAAGCTGCACCGCTGTGTTTCTTTTTCATACTGCTCTAATACGTATGGAGCGTTGCTCGTTAGCAGCACTGAAGGTAGTCAGGCATCGTGCCCTTATTTATTATTTAATGGAGTTTTATACTGTGAATGAGCTGCGTTTGGCTCAATGAGGTTACAGTTTGACTCAGGCCCAACCATTAAATGAGGAAGGAAGGAAAAGAAGTATAGAAGTGTAATAATTACAGCTGTGAGAGACCATGCAACGTGGGGTACACACAAGGGTTTTGAACAGAGTACGATTATAGGACAGTGGCTGGGATGCAGGCTGAAGTTGAAAGGAAAATATGAGTGGATATGTAGAAGAAGGCAAGGCTGCAAGCAAGACGACAGAAAGGCAAGTGTCAGATACAGGACTGTGGATGTCCAGGATGTCTTAATAGCTGAAAACTACTTTTAAAGACAGACGGGACCAGTAGGACCCTCACGTAATACCCAGTAAGGAAAGTTGCAGAATCCCACCCAGAGGTTTCTGGCTGACCTGCAGCACATCTTGTAGAACACCACTGCATTGATTTTAAAAATGCCACGGGACTGAGTCTATGATACCTGTCGGTAACAGGTTCCATGGCTGAAATAATTCTCCCTGCAACCATTTCCCCCCCGCCCATTATTTCCAGCTTAATTTTTTTCACACCTAGAGGGCAGATGAGTCCTCTCATACTAGGAAAAAATGTCTATTCTTTCCTTTGGATTTTGAATGCTTCAGCAGAACTTTGGCTTGTTTTCTGCCTGTTCTCTCCTCCCAGCCCCTAGACTGACCTCATGATAAAACCTTCTTTCAGTTTGGCCACTTACAGGAACTCATAAATTTTCAGCAGTGAAACTTTCCTCCTTGCTTCATAACCTCAACCACGAGGCCATGAATAGCTTCTCTTTACAGGGAGATGCCTTGATTTTAAGCAGTACAGTTTAACAGGCAAAAACTACTGTGTTTAACAGTACACCAAGTGTCTGCGGTGATTCCCAGGATCCATGGCAAATTCACAGCACAGTGACAGGGGCAGCACTGATCCACATGCAATACAAAATCTTATTTAGTAATGAATTTTTTTGAAGTGTGACATGTAGAGTAAATTCTGTGCTAAACCAATGCCTTTTGTCCTGCATAGGAAGCATCTCTCACATGGTACAGAAAATTAGAATAATTCTTCATATTACAAAAACCCAAGGAGCAGGCATGAGTTAGAGTGGGCCTGTTTGGAACAGAGAAGACCTGGGAACACTGCTATGGTGCTATAACGTTGCTCTTAGTGGTGCTGAAGCTTTTAGGGGGCAAAGTCATCCCTAACAAAGAGGATCAGATAACCTTCCCAGCAGCAGAATAAGATTCCTTTGGCTCTTTGCTAACCAGCCAACACCCTCATCTCATCTGATCTCTCCACGTGGGACCACCCCTCCACAGTGTATCCTTCCCTCCAACATCAACACAATTTCCCCCTTAAAACCTCCTTCAAGCCCACAGGATCCTCCCCCATCCCTGGGACACATGTAAATTTACTGAAAGCCACATGGATGTTCTAGTAAAAAATCTGCTCACTAAAAAGAGTCGCAGGTGATCTCCCCTACCCCGGAGCCCCCTCTTGTGGTTTTTAAATTAAGCAGCTGATGCTCAGAAAAAGCTGATGCTTTCCATGGCCACCCCTATTCGGCAATGACTCCAGATGCCCCAGCACAATCTCTGTCTGGACCTCAGCCCAGTGCTGATCATCACTAACTGGTCTCCAGAGCAACTGTGATGTAAAAGCCATGCTGGAGAAACAGGAAGGGGCTAAAGCAGTGGAAAGGACAACAGAACAGATCATGTCATCAAAACAGGGCAAGGAAACCTAGAACAAAAGGTGTTTTGATCCTCTGCAGCACTGCTCCCCACCTCCAACCTTTTCAATGTCACCTTGAACGCTGTAAAGCTTTAAGTGTAGCGCATAAACAGCCAAGGCTGCCCCACTGTAAAACATTCCTAGCCTAAATGAGAGCAAGAGCAGGTCATCTGCACCAGGGCCAGACGGTCCAGGCTGATAGCCACAATATGGCACCTGTAACAAGGACCTGCGTCTAAGGCAGTCACGTCTGACAAGGGTCTGGCACACCTGTATGACGTACTGCACAACAGCTACTGCAGATATCAGTGTTATCCACATGTCTCCATAGGAAGGAAGTTCAATTGCAATGGCTCCAAGCGGGCTGCTTGAGACTATAGCCATTTATAAGATCAGACAAAGTAGACAAAAATCCATTCTAAAACTCTTCTTCGGCAGTCTAGCAGCCAGTATGTGCCTGGCTAACTTTAGAGACAGTATGGGGCAAAATTCTAGCTGGGGCCATCTCAAATCCAAAGGGTCATTGTGCCAGTCAGTGAGGAAAGCCTCTCCTGCAGACTCTTTACGTAAACTCTGAAGGATGGTATCAAATGCAACAAAGACGCTATTTATATGCATACAATGGCATATCAGCAGTAAATCGATGCTAGCAATGGACATGACAAAGAGTAATGCCAGCTATCAATCACTTCCGAACACTGTTTCCTGTTAAAAACACCTCCACACCTCACCTC